CTCCTTACTGTTTCTAGTTTACTATTTAACCTCTTCTTTATGTCAACATTTTTATTTTCTAATTTTATTTGTTTTTCTTCCTTCTGAACAGTCTCTCTTATTGCTTAATAGTTTGCTTTCCTTCATAGGTATATTCCTTACTGATTTAAACATTTCATAGAACTTTATTAATTTAAACATTTAATAGAGGGCCAGCCAGATAGCTCAGTGGACAAAAGCACCTGCTTAGACAAGCGCTAGGGGAACCAGGGTTCAATCCCCATGTGGTGCAGCCCCATCCCGGGCACAGGGAAAGGACAAATGAGACTGGGCATGGTGGTGCATGGCAGTAATCCCAGTGCTTGGGAGGCTGAAATCAGGACGATCACTACATCTGATCTGTGCAGTGAGACCCTGTACTAAATACTTTTTTTTTTTTTTTTTTTTTTTTTGCGGAACTGGGGATTGAACGCAGGCCCTTGTGCTTACCAGGCAAGTGCTTATTCTACTGAGCCATCTCCCTGGCCCCATAAATAATTTTTTTAAAAAATAGAATTTTAGCACTTGCCTGGCAAGCACAAGGGCCTGAGTTCAATCCCCAGTTCTGCCAAAAGAAAAAAAAAAAAAGAAAAAAAATTTATCCCACATTCAGGACTTCTTTACTCCCAAGGGTTTTTTAATAAGACTTCCAGCTTCAATATAGTGCAATAACACCACTGCTCAATAACCTTACAACAGTGGTGCTATAAAATTTGGTAGGAGCATAACCTGGCCCATTTTACTGCCTGCCATCCAAGCCACTGTTAGGAACCCTGGGAATGCCCTAGGCTTGTTTCTGGGGAAATTACCTTCACTTTCAGACACACTCTTTTTTCTGTCTGTTCCTAGCCCAAATTCTACCTGCTTGTTTGATTAAGCTTATAGGAGAATGGAAGAATATCCTTGGAGACTCTGCTGTATCTTATGACACCAATGATGTCCTCTGCAAGGTCTACTTCTGGTGATGATGTAGAATGGGTGGGTCCCATAGAGTTCCTGGTCAATCATGATTTGTAGGCAATCATGAAAGGTCAAGGCTTCCACATAAGGAACAAAGCTCTCTTCAGGTGTGGCTATACTGAGAAGCATGAAATTACAAGCAGTTCTACTAAAATGAATGGATCAATTCTTGGCTTGATGTGGTTGGGAACTGTTCTGCTTTAGAATACAGCTGCTGGTAGCCTGGGTCACTACTCTGACCCCAGGAAATACCACATGGAACAGAACATCTATGGTTTCTGAGTAACAAATAATATTTATTCTTCATGAGCAAAGAACCAAATCCATGTCCTAGAGCTCTTTCTGGATTATACAGAATCCTAAGAAGAGTCCTTTGGAGAATACTTGCTGAGACTGGCTTTAGTAACACTACGAGTTAAAAAGCCCTGTCAGATCACTATTGTGTTTTTTTAATCTCATTTTACTACCCAAATAATACTGATATTACTGGGAAACTTTTTGTGTTTTGTTGTATAATTCAAATGAAAACTGAAAGAACAATTGGTTCTATTCAACAATATTTCTGTTTTTACAGGATATTTATATTTTCTTTCTTTTTTGAGGAGGGTAGGGGGTGCTAGGGATTGAACCCTGAGCCTTGCACAAAGTAAGCACACAATGTGAGCTATACCCCTTGCTATGTTTTTTCCCTGAAAACAGAAAAAAGCAGTATACCAAATATCCATTTATAAAAACTTTATTATGTTCTGCTATTTCTATAATTTGGTGGCTTTTGTCAATTATCTTAAGCTATATTTGAGATAAATCTCAAATTATTCCTTTATCCTCAAAGTAAAACTGGATTATACTTTATTCATACTGCCATTGTTAAGTTTTGCCAAGGTTATGAATACTTCAAACTGATTCAGACAGTGTTTTTAATTTGTATCTCTTGAAAAAGCCTGCAGAAGTTTGGAATTTTTTTTCCTTGAATATTTGGTAAAATTGCTTGTAGAAATGTCAAGACTCACTACCTATTTGTTTCCTTGCTTTTTAAATTTTTTTAATTAACACTAATTTAGGGGAAGAAAGATGTATTTTTCATAGTTAGGTAAAATCTTGCCATGAAATCTTAACCATTCCCGATTGAAATATAAAATTTTTATAAAGAACACTAAGTTTGAGCAGTACAAATGAACTGTTCAATATAACTATATAACATACTGGAATTTTTTTCCTTTGGAGACAGGGTCTCATTATACATTTTAGGCTGGACTTGAACTCAGTACATAGTCCCTACTGGGGTTACAGGCATGTACCACCTCATCCAGCAGCATTGGAATTTTAGCACAGCAGTACAGCACTAAGCTAGCATGTGCCAGATCATGGCTTTGATTCCTAGCACCGGACAGAAAACAGAATAGAGAATAATGACAGCCCTAGTACTACAAAGCTAGGACCCTACTGGTTGGGTTTACAAGTTTAAAATCTTTTACCTAATAAATTATTATTGGGTACTTAGGGTGTTAAGTACAGTTCAATTAGACACATACATACTCAGAGGAATGAGAGATAAGATCTCATTAGCTCTTCTCATTGACTCAAGGACTCTTCTAAGGTTTTAGCATAGAACAAAAGAGTATCTTCTCAACTAATACCCTGAAGCTTCTATAGGCAAACAAACCATATGAAATATCTTCCATACGTTGGATTTCTGATAACATTTTCTGCAACCTCTTTGAACATATTTAACAGCTAAAAGTTCAGCAATGCACAATCCACAATCAAAAAACACACACAAGCCAGGTATAGTGGTGCACACCTGTAATCCCAGCATTCTGGGAGACTGAGACAAAAAGATCTCAAGTTTGAGCCCAGCCTAGGCAACTTACTGACTTAGCAAGACCTTGTCTAAAAAGAAAAGAAAGTACTGGCACAGTATGAAGGTCCTGGTTTCAATCTCTAGTGCTGTAAAACTAAAACCAAACCAAACCAAACCAAACCAAACCAAAAAACAATAAAAACAAGACAGATGAACACACAGAATGTCTGTTAATATGTCAAAAAGTACCTACCCTCAGCCATAATTAAAATAAAAAAAACTAAAACTGCCATTTTCTATTTGTAAAAAACAAAAATTTTAAATTGATATACACCAACTTTGGATAACAGAGAACCAAGAGTTCCTCCACCACCCTTACTTACAGTACTCGCAGGAACTTACAGTGATTTATCAGTTTTAAATGTCAATACCTTTTGAGTAAGGAATTCCATTGTTAGGAATTTATTCCACAAACATACTGGCAATGATAATACAAGGATACAAATGCATGACTGTTGAAGAAAACTAATTCATAGGAATAACATATCACTGCTTAGGCAATCGCAGTGACAGGGTTCCATCCCAGCAAAATATGCCGCACAAGCCTCGCCCCTGGGCATGCTGAGCCAACCGAGACTGGGCGTGGTAGTACACATCTGCAATCTCAGCACTGGAGAGGCTGAAACAGGATCACTATGAGTCCGAGCTGCATAGTGAGACCCTGTAGCAAATACATTAAAAACATAACATAACATACATATAAATAAGCTAAATGCTCATGAAGAGGGAACTGTCTGAGTAAAATTATAGCAGAGTGTAACTGAGTACTATTAAACCACAAACAAATGAGTAAGGTGATCTTTATGTATACATAAAAATGTCCCCAGATAAAATGTTTAAGTAAAATGGCCAGCCAGATAGCTCAGCTGACTAAAGCACTTGCTTAGGAAGGCAAAGGGACTGGGGCTTGATCCCTGGCACTACATGCCATGCCATGCCGGCCCCACCCCCAGGGTGCATTGTGACAGCAACTAAGACTGGCATGGTGGTACATGCCTGTAATCCCAGTGCTTAGGAGGCTGAAAACACTAGGCTCACTATGAGTCCAAACTGTATAGTGAGATCCTGTAGACCCTGTACTAAAAAAAAAAGTTTAAGTGAAAAAGACAGTCTGTAGGTTTCATCCCCAGCACTGGTGGGAAAGTCTACACAATACAACAGAACAGTCTGTACATTATAACTCCATTGATACTGGAAAAAAAAAAGTAAAATTTTCTAGAATTTCCAAGAAATAGCAAGTATTTGGGGGGTGTGAAGCTAGGGTACTGAGACGAGATACTTGCGAAGACTTTCACTTTCTTGCATATACATACTTAGTGCCTGGATTCCTTACCAGGGTATGCCTTGTTTTGTAAATTTGTTGTGAGAGCTTGTGAAATTCTTGTCAAATTATATGTTCATTGAAATTTAAATAAGGAACACCTACAGGAAAGCAATTCATTTCTATAACTCATTTCACATATAAAAAACAAGATGCCAACTTCTATGGATTGCCTAAGGCCATGCTATCTATGAAGTACTTTTAGTAATCAAAAGGAAGGTGAGGGCCGTCCTGATAGCTCAGCAGACTAAAGCACTACTTAGGCAGAGGGCAGCACCCAGGGTTTGATCCCCAGCCTGCCTGCCAGCCCTGCCTCTGGGAGCGCTGAGACTGGGAGTGGTGGCATGCACCTGTAATCCTAGCATTTGGGAGGCTGTAAAGAGAGTATCACTACAAGTCCGATCTCCATAGTGAGACCCTGAACACCCTTGTAGACCCTGCCCTAAATACAGGAAAAAAGAAGAGTAAAAGGAAGGTGAACAAAAGACCAAGCAAAGTATTAAATGGAGAAAAAAAAAAAAACAAAGTACACAATACTACAAAATATTATAATGTTTTCTTTACAAAATTATCTTGGAAAAAATTCTAAGATTATTTTTTAACCATAGACCATGCAAAATTAGTTTTTAATGCAGCGACTAAATTGAATATTAATTATCGATTATAGTAGTGATTTCTTAATGCTTACCAAATTAGAAACAGAAACAGCATGAAAATAATTGATGGGTAAAAAGTAGAAAGGTGGGGGCAAAAATAGAGTTAGACAAAGGAGTAACATATGTTAATATAGTCAGGTAAAGGGGGCTTTTTAGACAGTCAGTTCCCGGGGTGATACTATACCTAACAGCTGGCTGTGCTCCCCTGTGATGGAGTTCTGACTCGGGTCTGAAAAACAAACAATTGAAAAAAAAAGAAAAAAATGAATGCTCAAAAAAAATAATTTTTTAAAATTCAGCAACAAAAGCAACCAAGGAAATAAGCAAAAACTGAAAAGTTTAAGAAACATTAATGAAAGAATAATAAAAGAGAACTATTATTTTTAAAAGATTACATTCTTTAAGAATTACCATATCACTCAATAATTTATTCATTTGTCTTATGGAAGTTACTTAGGTTGTTTCTACCTTTTGGTTACTTCAAAGACTATTGCTATAATACCTTGTCATATAAGGACCCAAGGTTCTATTTCATAGACTGGAATATTATTCAGCTATAAAATAAAGGAATTCTGATACATGCTACAATATGGATGAAACTTGAAAACACACCAAACAGGAAAAAAATACTGTATGATTCCACATAAAATATTGAGAAAAGCCGAATTTACAGAGACTGAAAGGACATTAGTGGTTTAAAAGGAGCTGGGTAGAGTATGGTGTGGGTGTTACTGTTGAGAGTATGGAGCTGCCATAAGGGTGAAGAGAAATTCATGAAGTAGAGAGTAGTAATGGCTATATGGCCCTGTGGATGTACTCGAAATGGTTAAAATAGTATATTTTAAGATGTACACTTCGCTTCCCTGGCAAGTGCAAGGGCCTGAGTTCAATCCCCAGTTCAGCCAAAAAAACAAAAAACAAAAAAATGTATCTCCTTAAGATGTACACTTCCGTAATCCCAGCTACTGAGGATGCCGAAGATAGGAGGGTCAAGTTTGAGGCCGGTCTGGGCAATTTAGAGAAACACTGTTCCAAAAAATAAAAAGGAAGCCAGTGTGGCGTCACATGCCTATAATAACAGCATTTGGGGAGGCTGAGGCAGGAGGATCCAACCTGAGTGACTTACTGAAAACCTGTCTCGAAACAAAAGATCTTGAAAAACGCTAGGATGTAGCTCAGTGAAAAAGCCTTGGGTTAAATCCCTAGTACAACACCCTCACACATGCACAAACAGGTTGAGAATCTAGTTCCATGCTGAGTTCAATTCCAGCCTGAGTTCAATTACCAGCCCTCCAAACAAATAAATAAATTGAAAGATCAATACACAGATTTAACTATGCATTTCTGTAAGATGTTTCAGGGCCATAACATGAGTTGAGTTTTCTCTTTAATGACAAAGGAATATATTAGAATAACAGCTCATTATTTATATGTTAATTTGGCTTTTTTTTTTTTTTTTGTATCGGGAATTGAACTCAGGACCTTGCATTTGCCAGGCAGACATGATTTGCCTTTAAAATAAAATGACTTCCACAAGTGACACCTGGCCACCAGTAAGCATCATGGACACTGTCCACGTCCACCACATACTAGAACTTTGTGCAATATCCTATCCCCAAACTGTTAGAAATGCTGGCCATATATTTGCCATTCCAGTATTTTTGTTATATTTTATGCTTAGTAATTCTTTACTATCATGAAAACTTTTTCTTAGTTGATATTTTTGTATATACTAACCTAATCAAATACTGTGTGAATACTCTGAATTGATCGCAGATTTGTACATATGATACACTACATTTTGGCCTCTTAGACTCACAATCTAAATTTTGAATATTATTTTGAAATATTTAATTTAATTTTGAATTAATAATTAATTTTCTGAATATTGTTTAATTTTTGTTTTATGATTTATACTGTTCCTTTGTTTTTTGGGTTTTTTTGTTTTTGTTTTTGTTTTTCAGAACCAGGGATTGAACGCAGGCACTTGTGCTTGCCAGGCAAGTGCTTATTCTACTGAGCTATCTTCCTGGCTGTATACTGTTTCTTTGACCTACAATCTACTTATAAGACACGGTATGACATTTTCTCCTAGTATTAGAAACTTTAAGAAGTGTATTTCCATTAACTTTATAATAGTTCTTGTCTTTTACACACACATGAAAAAATATGTATGATATAAGATTGATAATGTTTTGTGGAAATCTTCAATGACCTTTTAAATGGGTTCGTCTAATATAATTACATTTTACATAGTCCTGCATAACTACCATACTGAGAGCTCTTTATTCTTTATCCAGAACCATACAGCAAATTCTCTTGCCTTCTGGATTATGGTCTTTGTTATTTTTTATATGCTACAACTGGGGGTATTAGAATATTTCAAGTTTGTATAACTGGAAAATATTTTACTTTGTTTTCAAAGGTATGTTTGCGAAGTATAAAATTCAATGAGGACAGATCTTTTTTTTTTCAGCCCTCTGAATAAATAAGTCTAGTTTCTTACCCACTTGCTCTTTTTTTTTTCTAATGTGGAATAAGATGCTATTTAATTTTGTTCTTCCATAGCTAATATGTTTTTCTATATATATGCTTTAATGATTTTTTTTACAACTAGTTTTGGACAATTTCAGTTTTGTGTATCTTCGTATGATTTTATTCATATTTTTGTGCAAAAGGTTCGTTTTTCTTGGAAATGTGGTGTTAATAATTTTAACTAAACTCAGAAATTTGGCGAGTTGGCTCAGTAGAATAAGCGCTTCCAACTGTCCTACCAATTTGATTTGAAACTGTCTCATTGCTATTTGTTTCTTGATAAAATTATGGAAAGGGGCTGGTGAGATGGCTCAGTGGTCTAAAGCATCTACTTAGAACAAGCTTAGCAAAGCACAGGGACCGCGGTTCAATCCCCCAGCACCACATGCCAGCCAGCCCCGCCCCCTGGTGGGCTGAGCTGCCCCCCCCCCCCACACACACAAAAAAAAAAAAAAAACTTTAAAAAAAATTATGGAAAAAAAAAAAAAAAAGAATAAGCACTTCCCTGGCAAGTGCAAGGGTCTGAGTCCACTCCCCGTTCTACCAAAAAAAAAAAAAAAGGATGAATTTCTTAGGCCGGGGAGATAGCTCAGTAGAATAAGTGCTTGCCTGGCAAGTGAGGGGCCTGAGTTCAATCCCTGGTTCTGCCAAAAAACAAACAAACAAAAAAATAAATAAATTCAGAAATTTTAGATCTTTAAATACTTATTGTCTATCTCCCTCTACTCAGAATTCTAATTATATGAATATAAGTTTCTTGATTTTTCACACAGAGAGAACTATTATATGACTGATCTGTAAGCTCTTCTTGATGTTTCAGATAATTTTTGTTATATTCATTTAAGTTTGTAAATAATTTTTTACAATGTGCAATCTATTATTAATCTTGTCATATACTCATTTCAGGAATATTCTTCTAAAATTCATTCTGTCTGCATTTTATATCTTTCACATTTCATTATTTGTCTACAATTTATTTGCTATATAATTATTATTTATTTTCAATAGTCAGTGAGTACCAAAAAAATAAAATGACTTGTAATTACTTGTTTCTTCAGTAATCTGAAATAAAATTAGTAGCAATAAACCAAATTCTTAGTCCAAGAGATTAATAACCACCATTTCACAATTAATCACTTGCTTATCAAAAAGCCTCGAAGAGCATTGAGGGCTAAATATAGAAAAGACCCCAAGCTCCATGGTCCTTAAAATTAAATCTCTTGAGCTGAGGATTGGGATGAGCCACCCTGAAGGTATCCGCGGGAAAAACAAACTGAGGTCACAGTTTGAGAACAATGGGAACAGGCTCTATCTTTTTTCACTGACTTCTAATTGAAGTTAAATTTTTTTCTAATTATGAGATAAGGAAGAAACTACATAAAAACTGTCTGTGAATCTTGTCCAGAATAAATATTAGACTTTTAAATATTATACTATTGTTATTTTAGACAAAATTCAAATAATGTTTTCCATGGTCCATGTATGTGTTTTACATCTAATTAAATCTACCATTCTAAATATGCATGCCAAGGTAGCTTAGTGGTAGAGCATTTGCTTAAGCATATAAGATTCAATTTCAGCCTGTAAATAAATACACATCTCAAATAGAATGTACCCTACAGATTCTCAACAGGGTAGAAATAAGGTTAAAATCTGAGGGGCTTTTGTTTTGTTTTTTGAGTAGGGTTTTGCTATGCAGTTCAGGCTGGCCTTGAGCTCAGTTTGTAGCCTGGGCTACATGCAAATTCACAACACTCCTCCTGCCACAGCCTCCTGAATGCTGGGTTTACAGAGGTGTACAACACCATACCCACAACTAGTTCACCAAGGTGGAAACCTGACTACCACAGCTAAAGTCTCAAATGATGGGCTCAATGGAGTAAGTGCTTGTCTGGCAAGTGCAAGGTCCTGAGTTTGATTCTTGGTACCAAACAAACAAACAAACAAACAAGGCTGCTAAAGTTTCAAATGACATATGAACTTTTTCTTTCTTTCTTTTTTTTTTTTTTTTTTTGTCTTTTTGAGGCAGGGTGTCACTATGCAGTTCAGGCTGATCTGGAACTCATGTTGTAGTCCAGGCTGGCCTCAAACTCACAATTATCCTCCGGCCTCAGCCTCCCAAGTTCTGGGATTACAGGTACCTGCCATCATGCCTGGCCATACAAACATCTTAAGATATATTTTGAGAGGATTTTTTTTCTTTAATTTGGTTTTGAAAAAGAAAAATTCCAAAATTATTCTCATCTAGAACATTTTCTCCAAAACAGCAAGTGAGTTCCTATCTTTTACTTTCAATTCATCTTCTCATCTAAATAAAGAGTACTTTATTAATATAAACAGAGTTGTTCTTAAACATAAAACAAAGTAGGAGTCACCAATTCTATAGCAACTTGATATATTAGATCACTTTACCTCTATCCCACCCTTACTAGTATGAGAAAAACTAAACACTATGATTGCAGAGATGCAAGTGGGTACCTGGTATGGAAGCAAAAGAAGAGAAAGCATTCTAGAGTTTTAGAAATGGAAGAACTGGGCTGGCCTGAGCTAGGTAGACTCAGTGGATTAAAGCACCTGCTAAGGCAGACACAGGGGCCAGGGGTTCCATTTCCCACCCCTGGAGCACACTGAAACAGAGATTGAGACTGGGCGTGGTGATGCACACCTGTAATCCCAGCCTTGGGAGGGTGAAAA